TTTAAGCCCTATTCACATGGGACTAGAATAACCTGGAGACCTCTGATCATCTGTAATGACTGCTGAGGTCATCTGTGATCTTAATCCCGTGCAAATCCACTATGCCCGTAATTTTTCTAATAAAAATTCCACGGCAAATTAACTACCATATTTTGCCAAACACAGAGGTTGTGTGATAATATTAGACCGGAGCAAATAGGAATCTTGATGACAAGGTGTCATATTTAGGTTTTCTGTTTTCTCTGTGCCTCATTTCTGCCTCTTTTCCAGTCAAGATTTACAGAGGGCGTTTCTGCATTTAGAAATGAAAGTTTTGAGGTTGGTTGCAGCCTCTCAAATTAGAATATTTTCTAGATTCCTTATCCTTATACCTTTCTACAGTAGCAAATTTAATATATTGGGGTTTTAGACTGGTAGTAGCACGAAACAATACATTTAAGACATTTGATAATATTTTTTTTTTTTGCAATTTGCGGGCATTTTATAAACCAAACAAGCAATGGACAATCAGTAGGTTATACGATTATGAAAATGAATGTTAGTTTCAGCCCTAGCCATCTTCAATACATCACAGTAGCTCTGATCTGATGAGAAAAACACATCCTGAAAACGATGAAGCATGTTTTCTTTCAGAAATCAACCACATAGTGTATGTAATAACTGCATAATGAAGCACTTTATGTCAGAGTCTTGGTAACACATCTGCCAAACAAGCAGATAGAAGAACAGTTCAAATATCTGCAGCATTGTAAGACACTTTATCATGTTCTGTTAACTTGTTCCATGTCTAGTCTCTGGATACAAAGTTGGATTAATTACCTTTGTTGCTGTCTGTTGTGCCATCTTTGGTTTTTCTGTTTTGATTGTGCGACTTTTCAATTTCCTGCATCAGAAAATCGAATGAATAAACAATCACTGAAAGCAGTTACAGACGGGCAAAAGAAGAATGGTGAGGGGTGAGGTTTTTTTTCTTCAACACTGTGATCTTGAGAACACTGTTCATTTGGTAGGGAAGACAGTGAAGTCCTGGGTGTAATACAGCAAACTCACATTGATGCGGTGGAAGTTGACACTCCAGTTGGCTCCAGCCCGGGAGGGAATAAAGCGATCGCCATGCTTGCTCGGGGAGGACAGGGGGGAGCTGGTGGGTGTCAGAGCTCGCACCGCTCCTACCGCTTTCTACACAAGTGGAGAGAGGAGAGAGCGTTTACTGGCTGCAGGCCACAGGCCTTGGACAGTGAAAAGTGAAAACGTGGTAATGAAGATCATTTAAGTGGCAGATGGTGCATTTGTCTGAGGTGTTAACAACAGGAGGCATCATTCACAAAACCCAGTCATTTGGCCGGTGAGGTCTTGTTTTCACTCAACACTCGTGACATTGTCAAAAGGAAGAGACTGGCCTGTTAAAGCGTATTTTCCTCCAACACATGGACAGTAACACCATCATTGTGCATCTTAAGTCCTCTGCTGGTGAACAATCCTCTTTGCGAGGGGCTATCATCGTGCTTTAGTAAAGATAAAGACCTAATCACATTAGTGATGCTAGTTTAAAATGTAAGTCTTGGCTATGTGACGCAGGTTCTGTTCATTTTTAGGAACTATTTGTTCAAGAGCTGAACATGAAGCTCCTGAATGTAGAAGTGTATACTTACTATGGGGCTTGCGTTCTCATTTTGAATGTTGATCTGCCTGAGCAGCCTGCACTCATAGTCCTGATCCATGATGCCTGAAAACAGGAGATTGATCAACACAACTATAAAATCATGCAACAGTTTCCTCAATGTACACGTCAAAGTAAACAGACACTGATGCTCTGATCGTTATGACTTGCTGACTTCTGGTCAGTCTCTTTGACCATCTCTGACAGCTGAGCGTATTTAGCTCATAAATAACTGTTAAGCAAACTCAAATACAACATCATCGTGTGGGATTTTTAAATGAATGACTATTTGCAATGGGTCAATCAATCAGTGAATCTATTACCCATGGTGAGGACATCCAAAACTATACATATACCATTATTCACTATGTAAAACAGAGAAAAGAAGCAACTGTTCATATTTAAAAAGGTGGAACCTGCAAATGTTTGGCATTTAAATTCAATTAATAACTTGTAAACAAACATTGCAGTTAATTTAATTTCTACTTATGCGCTTATTTTATTTTACGTCTATTTTAATATCACTGTGTTGTTGTCAATGGGGGAAAGTGTGGGTGATGTTTTTTGTCTTTTATGAGCTGCTGGACATCTGAATTTCCCTTCATGGATGAATAAAGTTCTTTCTATTCTATTCTGACAAACCTTGAACGGATCATCACCATTTTATTATGAGTTTTCTGTCGATGAACTAATTGATTATTTGACTAATTGTTTCAGAAATACTGAATACTGAATACTGAGTGATCCACATTTGCAAAGTTAATAATGACGGCTAACTGATAAGCTGTGTAAATTCATCACAGGACAAAAGAGTACCACACTTATCAGAAGACAAACGTTACAGTCACCCTCAGGTAATACTCCTGTAAATAACAGTATGGCATGGCATGAACAGATCCCTCGATAAGATGACATAGACAAACCAAACAGCTGTTGTACTCTAACGCCAGTGCCTTGATTCAAACCGCAGTTAAACGAACTAACTGTGGGCAAATCTGTTAATAAATGACAGTGACATTAGTTTTAGTGCATGTGATCATCTACGAGAGAGCTTACAACACATACATTATCTTTATAACCACTAACGTTAGCAGCTTATCCTATGTAAAACCAGCCTAACTGCTGGTATTTGCTTGCTGGCTCCATGAAACAAAAACACAGTTGTGGTGGTTATTGCTAGTGTGTAATCGTGACGCTGAAACGATTTAAAAACCCAATAATGCAATCATCCAGCATACAGAGCTATATGCTAATGCTAGCTCAGCTGGCTGACCGAACGTAAGCTATGCTAGCTATCCGGCTAATGCATTAGCAACATTGTTTGTTCACAATCTACTGTTATTTTAACACCTACCGGGCCCGGATAAACTACTCCCGTTGCGTGTCGTTGACTTGCTATTCCCAGTGGTGTCAATTCCAGTTGAAACGTCTTATTTTCTGCGTTTTACTCTTTAAAACAGAGCATGTAAGATACAATTGTTTTCTTTTGCCGAACGTTCAATTTGGGCTCGCAAAGCACCACGGGAAGGATGTGACGTCGCTGTTTTTTGAATCACACATTCTGCGTTGCTAAGGAAACGTGTCACAGTCACAGAAGACTGCCTCCCACATCTTCAGCAGACTGAAGAGAAATCACGGGAAACAAGAAACATTTGACGAATTAAACATGTAGCTTTCATCAGTCACTTCGTTATGACAGTATGAACATGTTCAAATGTCACTTTTCTTTTTCTTGTGTTATTTTTTTAATGTAAATGGTGATAAATGTAGACTAGTCATTGTTTAAACCAAATGATCAACTGAACCAGCACAAATGGGTGATAAAGCCTGTGCTTTTCATGAATAACTATACAGTGGACAGCAATTGTTGAAGGTATCTATGCAGTGGACACACATTGCACCGTCACTGCCTGCTGTCAAACAATATTGAACCAACCATGATTAAAGGGTAACATCAGTATTTTTCAACCTGGACTCTATTTTCCCATGTTTTTGTGTCAGAATGAAAAATAGGAACAACCATTTTTGAAACTGGTCCAGTATTGAGTGAGAGCGCTCAGCTGACAGCGGCAAAATAGGCTGTAATGTAATGCTAATGGTAAATTGTACATCGTTAGGCAGTAATTATAATATACATTGGGGGGATCTCTGACAGGTTCAGATTGTTATTTAGTGTCTGACACCAGTATGGAAAGGACCCTACAGAGACAGACCTTTTGTAAAGTCCAGTTCAGACCAAAGACTCGTGACGAGACAAAACCGTTTTAGAACCTTGCAGAGAAAATTTGCAGCAGTGTGATCTGGCCGTCTGCGTTTGAATCAAGCTGGCTGATGGTGTCACCTGCAACTCTGGTCATATCACCGGTGGCTGGCTTTCGAACGTGAGGCACGTCGTCTGTTTCGACAGCCAGTCTGCTTGTAGTGAAGTCTGCTGGTCAAGTCAAAATGGCCGCAGACCGGTTGTTGGCTTGCTGTGGCACGTGCTCTGTCTGTATTTTAAGAAGCTATAAATAATATTAATTCAGCCACAACATAAGCCTGAAAATCTGGAAATCAGAACGGAAGCACAGAGAGTTGTTGCATAGAGATGATACACCATCTCATCTAGTTGCATTGGTGTGAACCAGTAGGTTTTTAGAACGTTGCAGAACAGTGCATTGCAAGTTGCTGCCTGTTTCAACTTGTCCCGTTGCGAATCTTTGGTCTGAACTGGGCTTTAAAGTCACAGAGTAAGTCAAAGAGTAAGATCCTTTATGTGCCTAGAAACAGCACCAGAGTCACTATTGCCAAACTCTCAATACAATTATTTTAACATTATAAAACACGCTAGATTTTTAGTCGACAGAAACAAAACAAAGCTCAGAAAAAACTTCTTGGTTTGTTTTTCCACTGTTCCAACAGTCACCGACTCTTGTTTGGTGGAAATAAATTGTTATTCACCCAGTTAGATGTAAAAATATGCTGGCTCTATACACGCTTAAATTACTGTGTCTTTAAATGGAGTCTGGTGCATTTGCTGTTAGAGATTTCAGGGCTGTTTCTAGTTAAAAAGAACAAATTTTCTCCTTAACATAAAGGACTATTTCTTTTAGGATGTATATTGATGGTGCACAGATGCCCTGAGTGGTTACATTGCAGGCTGTTTTCAGCTACAGCACTCTCACTCAATACTAGACGGATTTCAAAACTTGTTGTCTTCATTTAGTCACTGAGACACAAAACATGGAAATACAATCCAGGTTGAAACACACAAATGTTTCCCTTTAGATACACAAATTACAAATGAAGATTTTAGGTGTTGACAAATCATTTCTAGCAAACAGATGACACACTGCATCGATTTACAGTATCTTTCAAATGGCTTTATTAGTAAAAAAAGAGATGCAAGTGAAACAAATATAATCTGACATGAAGTAAAAACAGACTAAACACATTTCATGTGCAAAAGGTTTGAAATAAAGACACATTCAATGACATAACATGGTTGTGGTACAGACTCCTGACTGCTGAAATCAACATTCTGACAATTTCACAAGAGACTGAAATTTCAGTTACACTGACAAAACAAGTTGTATTCAAAAATCCTGTCAGGAGTCTTGTCCCACAGCTTATCTAAAGGAATCTGATTCAAAGTGCCACAGAAAAGGTACAGTAGGTTCAAGTAAGTTATTGAAATTCTAATTTTAAAAAGCCCTCAACACCCAGTAAAGTAATATGTGCAAAAGTATAGTTTTTAAAACTAAAGAGTCTAAATGCACTATATGATAAATACATATAGGGAAGCTAAATAAAAAGTCTTTCTCAATGGGTGGCTCAACTCAGCAGATCAAAGCGCCCATGCAGTTCAAATCTGGACAGTAAATACTGCCAAAAATATTCTAAACTGGGCACTGTATCTAATAATCATAAAAGCTTCTTTACACAGCATATATTTATTTGATTAACATTATGAATATGTATTTTATTCTTGTTAAGCCCAGTTGTGCTCGTATTATGAATAGTCCTGAAAGAAAGTCACAGCCGCAGCTCTACAGCACGAATACAATTAGGCTCCCTCAAAATCACATTGTCTAAAAGTACAGTATGTCCAGTAGAAAACAAAGTATAAAACATGTTTTATACAGACAACCAATTAACCAAGGCAAATCTGAAAATGATACATGATACAGAAAATGGCTTGTAAAATCCCATAAACCAAAAATAAGACAGTGTCGACTTTTTCCACAGCCTCGTGTAACCTGTAATGATCGACGTAAAAGAAATAATCAGCATGATCAGTTACTCTGCACGGCCTCAGATACTCAGAGCATGTGTGCTTATGATAATGCCACGGCTTTTAAACCAGTGAGGAGTGAGTGATGGAATGGCAGGGTGAACTAAAATGAAAAATAAAGTACATGTGGACACAGGGCGCCGGTCTACAGGGAGGAGGTATCTCTAGGCTTAAGTTGCAGACCATTGTTGACCTGGAAGCGAGTTTCATCTGATATACCGTACTGCTCCAAGGGGTCCTGTGGAGGAAGGACAAGATGAGTAAAGACTGTGAGACAACAAATGCTCAGACTGCACAGAGCCCTGTTATTGAAGCAGAATCAAAGTTTATATTAAATGGTTACCTCGGGTTGTGAGACCTTTGAGAGTTCAGCCTCCAACAAAATACAGTGAAGGTGTGTGGAACTTAAAGGAGCTCTATATGACATTCAGAGCAGACCACTGTTTGCTATGGAAAGATGTAGTGGAGTAATGGCATCCTGAGCAGAGAATGAAATGCTCTGAACGGTTCAAAATTAGGTGCAGGAATCAGAACGAAACCAGTTTCATGTTGGTGGAAAGGGGTGTCAGTGTGTTGTAATCCAAGCTTCTTTGTCCGATGTTGTGAAGGACGGTCAGGCAGTGGGTGCAAGTTCATGCTTGTGAATTCCTGCGTGTGTAATTCAGGCCCCCAGGAGGTGTGCCAGACTTTAAAGCCAATTTGAGGTCCATTACATGATGCCATTGGACACAAATGGACTATCTGTCTGTAAATCAGTATATACAGTTTTTGAGCATCACAACCCCTGGGAAATGACTCGATCAGAATATATTCGGTCCGCAAACATTTTGAAAGTCTAGAAGAGCCACATGATTAAATCATTTTATCTCCATTCAAGTTAGTGGAGCGCTAAACTAGAAGTAGACGGCTTGGTCGGGAAGTCCCTGGTGCACCTGCTCTATGGACCCAATGATGTGGACGATCCGGGGAATTCATACCAAAGATGTTTGGCTTCATGCGCTACTGAGCAGCTTTCCTTGGAATGAACGGGACCCCAGTTTCTTTACACATCCATGTGTGTATCCCGCTGCCTAGCTCATTGGTGCCATGTTGCACTGTGCTCATATATGATCTAGATTTGTCTCAGTATTATTTGTGCGAACAAGTCTAAAGTCTGTGATAAAAAAAAAAAAAACAACCTTCAACAAATACAATTGTTTTTGGGATTGTTGCATAAATCAAAAAACTAAACTACTGAATCTTCATGTTCCTGCACTGATCTACCCATCTATCCCGTGTTGATAGTGATGATACTGAGCATGTCAGTGAGTCAAGCATGGCACAAATACAATTCACACTTAAATCCTATGACACTGTTGGGCAGAAGGACCATCTGTGTGGCATTCAGTGCACTAAGGTGCTGCTGTGACTGGTCTCACCTTGCCAGTAAGCCTGTGGATCTCAGTTCGATAGAATATCAGGTTCTTCCTCATGAACTCGTAACTGCAAAAGATAACGACATCACACGTTAATTTGACATTCGAAGGAGGAGATCATCCTGTTTGTGAACTGTTAGAGACATTTCTAGCAAGCACTTCTAGTTTCCTTTTTTTTTTGAGTCACTTGAATGCATCACCTGACCTGGCATCTCAGGAACCTTTAATTAAAGGCAGGTGTGCTGAAGTGAATGTGGAGCTAGAAGATGCCACAGTTACAGTCTTCAACCAACGAGTGTTTGGTTAATCCTGATTTTGATTTTGTTTTGATGCGACAGTCTACACAATCAGTTTATAGCTTCATCCTGCAACTCAATCAACTCTTTAACCACCTGAAGCACCCTGGATCATCAAACAGTGAGTACAAACAAACAAAAGACAGTGAGTTGACCATATCTCCCATTATGCCATCTGTGGGTGGCTGTTTTGGACTTACTGGAAGTCACAATAGGAGCAGTATGGTTTTGTCAGTGGACATAAACACAAGGTCAAGCAGTGATGATTGAGTTGAAATCTGTTCAACACAAGTCACATTGTTGACACTGGAAACAGCAACATCATTCATTTGGGACGGTTTCACCATGTGAGTGTGTGACTGGAGGCTAAGACACAATGACGTCCAAGTTGTTCTGCGCAGTCACTCAAATAACATCTCACTGCACACTGAGACACATTCAGCTGTAGGGAACACAGTGTCTATAATGTGCATTCACATGATCATAGTTTTGTAGTTAGGTTGGAAAAATACAGACATACTGCCTTTTTGTATTTTATATTACTTATTAACCATATGGGAAAAAAATACATAGAGCAAAAATAATCCTGTATTGTTAAGTGTTAATATTTTTAAAAACATATGGACAGAAACGTATTCTTTTGTTTTTATCTGACTAACTAAACCAAAAGTGTGATCTCAAAATTGTTTTACATTTTATGTACCGTAACACCCCAAGGTGCAGCTAGTGACTATTTTCATCATCATTTTAATATAATCTTCTTCTTTTCTTTAAAATGTCAAAAATGATGACAAAATTACAACTTATCAGAGCCTGAAGTGATGTTTTAAAGGAATATTTCACCCCTCAAATGACCATTTGTCTCTAAATTGCTCACACGGTGTTACTTTGAATTCTTGAGGAAAATGTTTTTTTCACACATCTCCACAGTGAAGGAAGAATCCAAAAAAGAGGAAATTCTTGATGAACTGAAGTCATACGCGACCATATTTAACAACAGCAAAACTAGATGAAAACATCTGTTTACAAACTCTAACACAACTTGAGCAGTATAATTAGGCCTATCCTGACCCGAAAAGATGCAGAAAAATTGGTCCACGCTTTTGTTACCTCTAGGCTGGATTACTGTAACTCTCTATTATCAGGTAGCTCTAGTAAGTCCTTAAAAACTCTTCAGCTAATTCAGAATGCAGCAGCACGTGTACTAACAGGAACTAAGAAACGAGATCATATTTCTCCTGTTTTAGCTTCTCTGCACTGGCTCCCTGTAAAATCCAGAATTGAATTTAAAATCCTACTGTTAACTTATAAAGCTCTAAATGGTCAAGCTCCGTCATATCTTAGAGAGCTCATAGTGCCATATTATCCCACCAGAACACTGCGCTCTGAGAACGCAGGGTTACTCGTGGTCCCTAAAGTCTCCAAAAGTAGATCAGGAGCTAGAGCCTTCAGCTATCAGGCTCCTCTCCTGTGGAATCATCTTCCTGTTACGGTCCGGGAGGCAGACACCATCTCCACATTTAAGACTAGACTTAAGACTTTCCTCTTTGATAAAGCTTATAGTTAGGGCTGGCTCAGGCTTGCCCTGTACCTGTGTGGTTGTGCTGCTGCCGTGGTCCTGCCAGATGCCTCCTGCTGCTGCTGCCATCATTAGTCATTAGTCATACTTCTACTGTTATTATACACATATGACTATTGTCACACATGTATACTGCCAGATATTAATACATACTTTCAACATATTGTACCACAGTAGCCAGAACTATAACTATAATATTATTACTTTCAATAATGTTGTTGTAAGCTACTGTTATTACCTGCATCTCTCTCTCTGTCTCTCTCTCTCTCTCTCTCTCTCTCTCTCTCTCTCTCTCTCTCTCTGTCTCATTGTGTCATGCGGATTACTGTTAATTTATTATGCTGATCTGTTCTGTACGACATCTATTGCACGTCTGTCCGTCCTGGAAGAGGGATCCCTCCTCAGTTGCTCTTCCTGAGGTTTCTACCGTTTTTTTTCCCCGTTAAAGGGGTTTTTTTGGGGAGTTTTTCCTTATCCGCTGCGAGGGTCATAAGGACAGAGGGATGTCGTATGCTGTAAAGCCCTGTGAGGCAAATTGTGATTTGTGATATTGGGCTTTATAAATAAAATTGATTGATTGATTGGTATAATCCAATTTTCATTAATCTCAGTCGTATGTTCAGTACTTCCTACACACAGTCCTTTCCAACGGGGAACTGAACTGAAAGTGACACTTAGCTATGCCTTCTAAAAAAAGGCCACACTCCATTGACAAAAACAGTAATTTTAACTCCCTGAACAGTGGAGTTGTTGGTTGACCACTATCTTGATCAGTTAGTCTTTAATGAATTCAAACTACCTCTTAAAAACACCAAAGTCAAACAGTGGCTTACAGTTACATGATGGCTTCTCATTCAGAATGAAATAAATCTGAATGAAATCAATTAATCAATCAATTAAAGTTTTTCCAGGTAGTTTACATGAGAAATATTCAGATCAGTTTAATCGCCTTTATTCGGGTCTGCGCAAGGTTTGGAGCAGGGAAGGTTTCTGATTGGAGGCGGATGTTACGTGTTTACATTTAGCAGAAGAAAACACTGTTGTAGTCCTCGCTCTGGATAACAAGATGCTTGACGCCGCCGTTCTTAGTGCCTTTTTCGGGCTTGTTTTGCTTATATTCTTGAAGCAGCAGTACGACAACAACCTTGTTCTGCTAAGGCTTCGTCTGTTGAGGAGAAGAGTCTTTTTCAATTGGAATTTTTTTAAGATTATTTTTTCGGGCTATTTTGCATTTAATGTATAGGACAGAGTGAAATGGGGTGAGAGAAAGAGCGGGGGGTGACATGCAGTAAATGGTTGCAAGCCGGACTCGAACCTGTGACCACTGCGTCGAGGCATCGCCTCTGTACATGAGGCGCCAGCACTAGCCACTACGCTACTGACGCCCCTACATGACCACTTTTAATCGGAATGGCCTTTCATTCCGAATGAAAGTGGAATTAAACTGTCCATGTAAACGATTGACACAAACTGACACAAACTTACTGATGGAGGCAGCAGGAGAAAGGTCTGTCTGTTTGGGAAGTACCTAGCTAATGACTGGATAAATGAGTCTTGGGCTGAATCAATCTACATGTCTATCCTCTGGACTTGTAGACTGAGCCCTCGCAGACTTCAGTTGTACAATGTGTTATGTATTTACCGTCATCATGTAAAGTCTGCGAGGCTGATGGGCAGCCCTCGAGACTGTTTTACTTGTTGCCGTGGAAATGTTTAATTATCGCTGCTACCGTATTCATATATATGTCATATAAGTTGATGAATAGTGCTAAACTCATCTGTTCATACAGATAACAAGATACAGTATAAATCCCATGTATAGCCTTTTCTGTGACCAAACAAAAATGCATTAATACACCTCTATATAACATACAGGCTACACATGTACAAAAACAGAAATGTTTGTAAATAAGGACAGGACTATAACTTAATAACTTGTGCATTACTGACATTATTAACCTTCCTTTGTTGTTTTTCAGACCCTTTTTTTGCCTATTTCACTGCGCAGTCTGATAAGCTGCAATAATAAAATGCATTTTCAGTCTTCATCCTAGACTTATACTTATCTCTGTATCACGATGTGGTTAAATATTATCTCTGGCCTACACAATTCAAGTAACATTTTAACAGGCCATCCATCAATAACTATTTTACACATTCATAAGTTTCTTTTTCGGCGATTGAAAAACCCACAACTTCACATCCGTATTGCAATGAATTATGGGTTATTAAATCAGTCTGCACCCCAAGCAGATTATCTGGAGGTTTGCAGGAAGTCCTCGAGACCCCTTGTGGACTGGGTGAATTGTGGATTTGGAGCCCTAAGCACTCCCGCACTTCCAGTAAACATGACGATATAGTGTGAGTTGTGTTAGAGTTTGTAATTGGATGTTCTGAAAATAGTTTTGCTGTTGTTATACATGGCCGTTATACATGAAGAATTTCCTCCATTTTTTTTGGATTCTTTATGAATGTAACTCAACATGGGGTTAGAAATTGATTTACAAATGATCATTTGGGGTGGTGAAGTATTCCTTTAAACTGCACTACCGTCAGCCATAGAACTCAAAGAATGCAGCTTGTAATAGAAGCATTTGACTTGATAATTGACTGAAATGACTGATTACCAAAATTGCAACCAGTTATTGTTCTGTTAGTTACTGCCAGGTCACAAAACATATGTATCACATTGTGTTGTAATACGGTCAAAAAGACAGGGTCCTACCTGGCCTTGATGATGGAGTCTACCCACTCCCCACACTGCTCCTCTGAGTCACACTCAAACAGATACTTCCTCTCTGCTTCATCCAGAAACGCTACAAAGAGAAACACATCAGAAATTCATCACACAAACACACTAACGCTAACTGTAATATAAAGTCATAAGTAATTAAATTTCTTTTGTGCTGATCAGTGACATATAAACAATACAGTTTGAATACCATCAGCACAAACTTGAGTGACCACTCATTTCCACTGACTTCAAGGATTTACAACCAGTCAGTCAGCTTGTGAGGAAGTGTAGGTGAGTCATGTTAATGTACTCACCAATAGAGAAGGTCTGGCTGTCCTCCCTCTCCACCCGACACTGCTCCAACAGCAGAGCTCCAATTGGCTGCCAAATAAATAATGACTTAATGATGTTGCCCTTTACAAGCAATGGTTTCACTTTCTCATGAGGCCAGACAGTGAACACATGAGGAATAGATGCTGTAACAGTACAGGCAGGTGTTCAAATATTGATTCAACTCACCTCGTCCTCATCAGTCCGGAAATAAAAGAGGAAGTTGACGATGAGTTTCACCAGCCTCTTCTTTACAACTGTGTCACAACAAAAGGGAACTGAGATCAGATTTTACACAGACAGCAGACAGATGGTGGGTGACATTAAGTGTGTGATGGCTGCTGTTGTAGCATTAGCTGCTGCCCATGTTACACGAAACGGAAGTAGGTGTGATAAGAGCTCGGTGTGAGATAAACCGTGTTACCGTCTCCTTTCTTGGGTCCTCGCATCCCCAGCTCGGCTGCCATCTCTGACGGCTGGCGGCTCAGAGACACCAGCTCCTTCTCGTTGAAACGCATCACGGTCACTGACGCAGTAAAACACAGGTTGGAGGGACAGTGAGGCTACGACCGAGCCTTTCCCACCGACAACATAATAATGGAGTCAGATAACTATAGTGTATAGAGACGGTGACGTCGAAACTGTCGGTTAACCGTCGTCCTGTGTCGTTATCTGGTGTTCCCGAGATGTGGCGGAGTGTGTTTGGTCATTTCTGCGGTCAGGCAAACACAGCGGAGTCACTCCTCTCCTTCATGGTACACAACGGACACACACTGGCAGACACTCCTCACTGGTGGTAGTACGGTGCTCGGCGAGGGTCAAAACAGGCGAACAGTGCGTTCTCAAACTGTGATACTTTCACTATGTAGCCTGATGTAGTGACGAGGTAATATATAGCCTCCTGAGACAAGAACTTTACTCTGGTAGGCATTTTTAGTTTCTCCTCGCTATGTGGGATCAGTTGGACTCGATAAGTATAAAAAACTAAACATTGCCAATGACAATTAAGTCCCAATGTCCTCAAATTAGACGAAGATATAGTCTCAATGTCAAACAAGTACTTACTAATTAACAGTGTCTTAGCTTGTTACTGTTGCTATACAAAACAACAAACATTATTGATACAAATAAACAAGTTTCAACTATAAAATGTGATCAGGTTTTGGACCTTGTCTACTTTTGTGCCGGGATTGGCTGCAGACTAATTTGGCCATCTTGTTTTTATATGGATAAGTGTGCTCTTAATTCCAGTAGATGGCCAAAAAAGTGTCCATGACTGAGGACAAGAGGCCTAACTTAAGTAGAATTAAGTATAAGGTCAAGTAAACCCAAAATGTGATATCCGCATATGAGGACAAAGAGTCCCAGGAGGTTAAGATGTATTTTAAATCTAATTTTACTTCTCGACAAATTTCACATTTACAAATGCAAACTTACAAAAACAAAGAAACAAACAAACAAAAAAGACCCTCCAAAAACTAGATTATTTGTATTTATAAAGGAAATGGAACAGTAGGCCCACTGGTCGATGATTTCTCTTCCTCATAAAGCAAAAAGCTATCAAAACCATTTATGTATACCTTCAAAATCTTTACATGAACCTTTTGTCACAAGCCGCTGCGTTTTTATTTATATTTTATTTTAGATTTGTTTTACAGTTTATTGCCCTTTTCTCTTTGTTAATGCTTTTAGTTTTGTTTTCTCAGTGCTTCATTTGTATGTCTGTGATTCTGATCTGTGCTCACACTGTTTGTAAAATAATCAAAATCAATCACTCAACAACAATAATAATGACAATCCTTATGAATTATGATAAACATAGTTTAATAAACAACACGGATAAATAGATCTGCAAGGGTTTCACTATTTGCAAATGTGGAAAAGACTAAAGAATGACAGGATGGGTGTTTGAGCAGTTAAATGGGTGGTTGCCAACTGTGAATATAAACAACAGTGTCAGATGAATACTTTAAACTTTATTTATTTGAATTTTGTGGAAACGAATGAATTGTGTTGCTTTGCTTATGAAAAATAGTCAGGTATGTGGTTTAATTAAAGGTTCAGGCGATCTGTGCATAACCCTGTTTAGGAACTAGTGGGAAATGCAAGAAAGTGGTGATAGAAAGGATGTCAAAGAGGAAAGAGCAAATATGTATTTAAAGAAGACTGTAATCAGTTATTCTTTGTGGTTCAGCTTAAATAGTTTGTTTGAGAGATAAATTTATGATAAAAAATGCTGTCGATGGATCAAAAAAGTCAACCACAGATGCAGCAACAGATATCTGTGTACAAATAAAATTACTCTGTAAGCCCTTGTGTGGCTTTATTCAGTCATTCTTGATTAGAGTTTTTTTTATTCATTTTTTTTTACTTTGCTTGCGAAAAATATGGTACATAATTATTAGTTATTTATTTTGTGAAGAAAGCCAGTCCGGCCCTTGCTCCAGACCAGTAGGTAGCGGTAATGCGCCGTAAACTGTTTGCAAACCGCCAAAAGCCGAAGAAGAAGCACCCTGGGCATGCGCAGTAAAAAGTACATTGGCATGATCCTAACGTCGTGGAGTCGGTGAGTGTTTTGGGCCAAGAAACTGTTTATATTATCTTGTCCTGTATAATTATCGTTTCTTCAGGTACACAACCACGGTATTATCACATATACAGAATTAGCTGCGCTTTACGTGTAGTTTGAGCATTCGTATTTGTTAAATCCATTTATTACAAGCCGGTAACACCGTTAGCCTAGCATTAGCATTGCCACAGTGCATTCATTAACGTTAGCTTTACGTTATGCTAACATACTAACTATGCTACTATGCTAACTGGAGTTTATAGAAATTACTCAATGACTTCCTCTTAACAGTGGTAACGTTATCATCTCAGGTAATTAAGAAATATTTTGCTAAAAACGGCGCTGTAATGTTTCAAAATGTACTTTCCTGTAGTTAAACAGATCCGTGTTAAGGGGAGTTAGCATAAAGTACCTCAGTTACAAGAGGTTTGAGAAGTCATTGTATTGTTGCTAATTCGTATGAAATGCAACGCAGACTAGTTATAGAAATGTATCAGCCTTATTTCGGATATTTAATTTTTTAACGTTCATTAACTTTACTTAATCTGTCCCCTAAACGATGTACATGCTCATGTGAAAGTAAATACAGAGTCGAGACAGCAGTCTTGTCATGTTTACTATGTGCTTGTGTAACTGCACACATGGTAGTTTGTTGCACCAAATCTAGTAATACCTAGTACTGTAATAACATTAACTAGTATTTGGTTACCTACATCCTTGGTAAGAGTGTGTGTTTTCTTCTCCCTCAGATAATCACAAAGGATCTACTTTGAGTACCTGTCCAGTGTTGACTGGGCAAACCCGTGTGGGTTTCTGAGTGATTAAGCCCATCACTTTGCAAAGATGGATTTCCAACATAGAGCTGGAGGGAAGACGGGGAGCGGTGGGGTGGCTTCAGCCTCTGAGAGTAACCGTGATAGGCGAGAGCGGTTACGTCAGTTGGCCCTGGAGACCATTGATATCAACAAAGACCCCTACTTTATGAAGAATCATTTAGGATCATATGAGTGCAAACTTTGCTTGACGCTTCATAACAATGAGGTGAGGGGGCACATGATGACACTTTACTAGATTATGTTACATAAACTTGGTGTTATTTTTTGTTATCAGAGTATCTTGTTTGACACTGCTCTCCTCTGCATTACAGGGCAGCTACTTGGCTCACACACAAGGAAAGAAACATCAGACCAACTTGTAAGTGCAGTGTTTAGTTTTTATTTGTTTGTCTTGTGTTTTCTGTGACTGATTCATTTTACCTCACCTTCCCACAACTGATAAACTTATCAAACCACAGGTCCACCTTGCAAATCTTCATCTTGTGGTGGATTCATGTTTGCTGTGAATTGACAGGGCTACAATCCACTGTGTCCAGTGCTTTGATTAATGGTTTAAAAAACTGTGTATGTTGTGTGTTTCAGAGCGCGGCGAGCAGCCAAAGAGGCAAAAGAAGCTCCTGCTCAGCCAGCACCAGCAAAAGTGAAAGTTGAGGTCAAGAAGTTTGTCAAAATTGGTCGACCAGGATACAAAGGTGAGCTGGCTGCAATGTTATGTATCATTGCACTCATTATTTAGCTTATGCTGAATGTGGTTTCATTGCAAATGTTTTGCATTCAATATCTTAGTGTCTTAATGTCTTTCTCTCCCTGATAGTAACCAAACAGAGGGACCCAGAGACCGGTCAGCAGTCTTTACTTTTCCAGGTTAGTGTGTATGGAGAGAATGTCAGTGTAAACTCTGATGATTTGAAAGGGTTTCTTGATTTGAAAGGAAATAAACGTTAAAGCTCCACTTTATAGAGATGCCATAAAGTTATCCAGTTTGCTCAGTTGATTGCTTTTGTTTGGTTTCTGAGTGCAGTCTTGATTCACCACTGAGAGCTGAAACAACTGTAAACAGATATTCTTCAGTTTCACAATCTCAGCTCACTCAAGGCTGGCTGCGTACTCTTAAGAAATTAACCTTTTGGCTGAAACAGCTGTTGAATGCGGTGCTCAGTGCCAGAGTCAGTACTCAGTGTTTGCTTTTTGGCATCTCTTCTGATCAAGCTTGCAAGCTGATGTTGCAGATGTTGTTTCTTCACAGTTTGTGCTGAACCTACAGCCAAGGCTAAATGCCAAACTTATTTTTGGTCATATACCTGTCATTTTCCTCACGTTGATGTGACATATGTGTCCTGCTGGCCAAATGAAGTAAGCAGCTGTACACAGAAATTGCCTCGGATACAAGCACCACTCTGTGTTTCGACCTCAAATTGCCTACTGCAGTAATGACTGAATATTATTGTTTTTAGACGTTATGGTCCGACTGTCAAAGACAAATCCCTAAGCTACTTGTTACTTTTTCTCTGTTCATCAGATTGACTACCCAGAGATCGCTGAAGGAATTGGACCCAGGCATCGTTTCATGTCTGCTTACGAACAGCGCATCGAGCCCCCCGATCGTCGCTGGCAGTACCTGCTTTTGGCTGCTGAACCATACGAGACTATTGCCTTTAAGGTGAGTGGGAGCTGCACCTGTGTTGTGCACTTATAAAAGCTGCAGTGATAAGTCAATTAGTCAGTCAAGGGAAATTTAAGCAGCAACATTTGCTGATTTCAGCTTGTCAGACATCTCAAGCTTTTCTTTGCCATGTATTCCAATGCAACATCTTTTGGTTTTGGACTGTTGGTTGAATAAGGGCTGTGGGAAATTATTACAGGCTTTTGTAACAATTATTTGATATGTTTTAGACAAAAACGATTCATGAAGAAAATAATAGTCAGATGAAGAGATAATGTGAGCTCTTTTAGTTTTGTTCTTCTTGCTGTGGCATGACATCAGTGTCTTTGCTCTTTTAGGTCCCCAGTAGAGAAATTGACAAAGCAGAAAACCGCTTCTGGACCCACTGGAACAGAGAAACTAAACAGGTACAGCTGAACTGATTAACATTTGTCACCACAAAGCTGACCTTCTTATTGTATTTGAGAAGTGTTGAAATATGTTTCAACCTGTCACTTGTGTTTTTTTCCTCCCAGTTCTTCCTACAGTTCCACTTCAAAATGGAGAAAGCTGTCCCCCAGTCCAGCGGACCCCCGCCTGCTGCAGGCGTGAAGCGCCCTCCTCCTCTCATGAGTGGAGTTGGACCTCGCCCACCAAATGATTCCATGCCCCCTCCCCCTCCAGGAGGGATGCCCCCTCTCCCACCAGGTGCTCCAGGTACCCCCCATATGCCCCCGCAGATGCCCCTGCCC